ATTCTGCTCCTGGAGACTGGTTTGGTTTTACTGGGTTAGGATCGGCTCGTTTGGGTTCATCCTGGACCTTGGTCTTGGACCAGTTTCAGGCCGGTTTAAACTGGTGTGGCGAGCTCCTGTAGGCGGGTCCATCTCTGATGCTGGGATGGAAACTGCTCGGTGGGCGGTGCTGAGGGGTGGAGGTGTGTTTGTGCTCGGTGACGATGGACAGCAGGTTTGTGTTAAAGAGAGAACGCCGTGTTTTATCACCTCGCTCGTCACGCTGTGTGACGTCATCGATGAACAGGAAGCAGGTCGCCTGTCCGCTTCCTGTTTGCCAGCTGACCTCTGACCCTCCGATTGCTGCACTTCCTCTCACTTTCACCCTGCGATGACAGCGACGAGCGCGGCGCCGCCCTGCACGACTGAATATCTCGTCCTCACAGAACAGGAAGGAAAGCAGCTGTTCGGACGCGTCTGCTGACATCAGCTGAGGAAGCGAGCGTGTCATCAATAACCATAACGCTCTGATGTTCTCAGGTGACACAGAGACGCTGAGCGTTTATGCTGAGGTGGCTGAAAAACGCTCGTTTTAAACTTGAAGCTGTGATCGGAGTTTGTCCGCACGCCGTCGCTCACGCTGAAGTTTCCCAGGTTTCCTGAACGCAGCGCTCAGCTGGTCTGTAATTCATGTTTAATGTTAATATTAAATGATTGTTTACCTGCGCACTGTGGTCATGTGATCATGTGCCTTTTAAATCCATACTAACCAAACTCGGCGCACGGCTGTGCCCGCTGATGGAGATGTCTTCAGGTTGCCTAGCAACCAGCTAATCACAGAGCCCAGTGTAACGTGAACATCAGTGACATCATCAGAATCAGGAAAAAGGTTTATTTGTTTGTTTTTTCTTTTTTGCAGATTAATTTTCTCATTATTGTTTATTTGGATTTGATGGTTCGTTCACTTCCTGTCCGTTCACTTCCTGTCCGTTCACTTCCTGTCCGTTCACTTCCTGTCCGTTCACTTCCTGTCTGATCTGAATGAGCAGTGATGTGTCGAGTTTTTAAATCGGGTTCTTCGCTGTGACGTCACGTGATGGCGCGAAAACATCAGTGAGAGGCTCCACAGCCAATCAGAGGAGAGACAGTTTACAGTTAGAGAAGACTGATTTCAAACACACACACACACACACACACACACACTCTTTGGTTTAATCACGCGTTGCAGCAGAATCGGCGTCGGCGTTGACCGTCACGCTCCGTCAGAGCAGATCTGAATCCACACAGCTGCCTCTGCTGCTCTCTGATTGGTTGATTCGGGGCTGCGAGTCATCGTCCCGACCTCCAGCACATCATTGATCGTCAGATTTAATGTCCAGTAATAATCTCTAATAATCACTAATTTGAAAAAGTAATCTATTACCCTGGAGCGTATCAGATTACTGTCGAGTTGGTGTAAATAACGCCGTTGGGCCACGCCCGCTGGTGATGTCACGTATTTGGTACGACTGACTGTATTTTCTGTTGCTGTTCATCTGCAAGCTGCTTTGCAGCCCGCCTGCTGTCGCGGCTGTGCTGTTCTTGCTGACCTGTGCTGACCTGTGCTGACCTTTGCTGACCTTGCTGACCTTTGCTCTCTGTCCTGCAGTGGAGGATCGACAGGAAGCATGACCGAGGAGAAATGTCCCCAGCTGGTGGACTACTTTGTAGTGGCTGGCCTGGACCCCGCGGGGCCGTGGAGGCCCCTGGACGAGGACGGGAAGGCCGCCGCCGCCTCCTCGACGACGTCCTCGTCTTCTTCTTCGACGGGCCGGGCGGCGGAGCCCGTGACGGACCTGGTGGTGATCGCCCGGGGGCTCGGGGAGGACGTTCCCGAGGGCTTCACCTGCATCGAGAAGACGCTGGGCGGACACTCGGCCGAGCTGAGCGCCGGCCTCATCAACAACCCGCACCTGTACCTGTGTTACCGCCGGGGGCGGGACAAGCCGCCCATCCTGGACCTGGGGTGAGACGCACATTTGTGGTTACCAGCTGTGATTAAATCCTCAGACTGGTGCCGGCTGATTTTGTCGTGTTTGATCGATTCAGAGTCGAAGCTGAAAGAAAAAATTCATGTTTGTGAGAATTTAACATTAAAAACATTCGACGTGTTTATTTTGCTTCAGCTGTAACAATAAGAATCCTCTTTATTTTTAGTGTGAAGATTTTACTAAACATCTGTCTGTAACAGCTGCAGCGTGCGAGGCTCCGATGCAGCTGCAGGGCGGGGCTTATTAAAGCCGAGGTTATGTCATCCACAGGATTATGTAATGCAGTGAGCACGCCGTCGTGCTCGCTCGTG